TGGAGAACCAACTGATGCAAGGGACTTGACATTCAAATACTTCTTTTTTTGACAATAAAAGTGAACAGTACCATAGATCTTAACACTGTTATATCAGCCATTTTGTCGAGTTAGCTAATCAGTTGAATGGGAGCGAGTAAACTGATTTTTAGTTTCCAATAGATTTATTTGTAATTTTGAATTCCGTAGTCATCGACGCTTGACGTAAGTGAAAGATACAAAAACAATTTGGAGAACAAAAATGGGGTACACTCGATCCCTAGATCATTTTTAAAATTTTAGTGACTAATTTYTGTAGTATCTATCTAAACGCTTCACGGCATCCACAATTTACAATGATTCGTAGTTTATAGATGATATCCAGATTAGATGATGATTGACTTTTATTGATTTTCTTGCCAAAAGAATATTTCGTATAATCAGTTTGAAAGTGTCGATCACGTGACTAAAAATGCCTTGCATCTGCAGATGAGTTCATGGACAAAAGTCACGACAAGTGTTATTGCACCAAATGTCACGCGTCACGCAATGAGAAGTTGTACTATACACAGGGAGACCCAGCCAAGGACTATGCACTCCCAACAGGATGGTGCCGATTTGCATTGAAGTATGTATCAGCTGAAAGATATAGGTCTCAAATTGTATGTCCTTCTAGTACCAAARATAGATTAAAACGTGACAAAAGAACATTACTCAGCCTCAATAAACAGTTGATATTGGCCTCTTATATGACGTTAAAATATTGCACTAAATTACAATTGTCATATTTCTTTGGGAAGTTTTACAATAAGGTATGCACATATATACCTGTATGCACAATCTCCGTCCTATTGCAGCAACTTATCATTTTGCTTCGAAAAGTTTAATATTTGCACGGAGTATTGAAATACCATTGATCGCATTAACTGCAGGATAACACCTCAAGCAAAAGCCCATGAAGCTCCTAAGAAATGGCACGTGGCTTACCATGGAACCTGCTCATCTAACGTCAAGTCAATTCTTGAATGTGGACAGCTGCTTATACCAGGTAATGACTGCAATTAGTCCTTTACCGGATCTCCCTAACAAACCTTTAAAAACCTGACAATAATCTTGACTCGTACTCAGGTAATGACTGACGCCGCAACTGTAGCGAGGGATTCGATTTTATACAGAAAAAAACTTTACACGGTCTCAAAATTTTGGGTCTAAACCGTTGAGAATATAGGTCCCTTGACCATGTATTGTAATGGACAATTCAGTACCGATCGATAAAGTACTATGACAATATTTACGTTTGTATATCGTGTGTAAATTGACCCAAAAATCAAAGTTCCCCATTTTTCAAAACACAACGAGCACAATATTCCTAATGAACAAGGGTAACTCTACTTTTGCAAAAAAGAAACGTATAGCGATTGAGTGCAAATTGCGGTATAATTGTGTAAATATAAGTGTAAGAATAAAATACAAAATATCGCCACATTGTTCATTTGTCAGAAAAATGGCTTTTATTGTGACCAGTGTATGACAACAATATATTCTCGAGCAGTGTCTAGAGGGGGTCATTATAAAGTATCAGTATAGGAAATACCACCTTTGTTCTCGAAGAATTTATGAAAAATACCGCGCATATTTGATGAAAATGAGAATTAAATACCACGAGTGCGCATGTCATGATAGCGAAAATATATCGCGTGTAGATCATTCGCAAAGACTTCTGGGATAGATCCCTGCAATTAATTGCTTTACACGAGTGGTATTCATTAATTGTACGAATTAAGAAAAGAATCACGGTTGATCAGCTCCCATTAATCAATATCAAAATTTTATGCAGGCGTGGTATCATGTAGCAAATTATAGAAATTAGTGCATTTGTACAAACGTTTGGGGCAAAATGTAAAAGGAAAGATCGAAACCATTACGATAATTTTGACTTGGTATACTTCAAAGAACGAGAATCTGACGCAAACGCACGCAAAAATCCATCATGCTTCGAAAAGTTCGAGTTTTATACACTGGAAAGAAATAAAAGTTATTTAACGATAGAATTGGCTTTCGTAGATGCTTTTTAAATAAACGACAGCTTTAAGCGTGTCAGAATTGAGCTATAATATAATATATGATAAACAGCTACGCTCACTCGTGAGAGACCTTTTTAACACTAAGGATTATGATATTCGTATCTCCGCGTCCCTATGTAATTTTCCTTTTTTCTTTTGGGCAACCTTAAAAGTCAGTTCTACGCTATTCCATTGATAGGCGACACTGCGTTGGGAGGAAAGAGGCTTTCAGAGGTCGATGGTCATTTCCACGATGAAAGGAAGCCCGAGGGATTCAATACCAAGCAGGTTTTTGTTTCGCCAAGCATTCGATATTCAGAACTTGAAGTTTACGCCAAGACACAAACGTGAGTATTTTTATTCGTCAGATGACGTGTAAATTTCTGTTAAACCATGACATTTTTTATATGCCAGTGGATACACGACCTATAGATGTTTATTTGATTTCAAGACCATTTTGTGAACGATTGTCTTCTGGAATGCATCTCACAAACGAATTTGATTGTTATAGAAGTGTTAGAGACCAACATCCCGATGAATATTAAGAGGTTATTAACCGAGCGCGAGGTCTGTACGGGAAAATATTAGACCGAGGTCTTGACAGTACGGACAGAGCGCAGCGAGGTCCGTACATAAAAGACCGAGGTCTGATATTTTCCCGTACAGATCGAGCAAGCGAGGTTAATAACTCGTTTATTATATGACTTTTACATCGTAGATTAGAAGAATTACTCAAAGTATATAGGAAAAGTCTCACTGGTCAACTTACAACACGTTGCCTCCCTCTATCTGATGGCAACGCTTTTCTCAAATATCTCACGACATGAGCAAAATGATAAAGACATCGTCATATTTCAGGGGCGTAGGCACCGGTCCGGTTGGTCCGGTTTCAACCGAACCAACTTTTGAAGTTGATAAAGAAAAAAGAAAAAAACAATGATCGAATATACGTGTCACTTTATTTCCACGTCATGACTTTGTATTCGGCGCGTCAGAAATATAGTGCCGGCTTAAGTTGTTTTCGATCGTAATAAATAGCACTTCGTGCGTATTTTTAAACTCCAACTACGTCGCAAATTTCGATTCCATTGCACTCAAATTTTCACAGAAGTAACAGTGATAATCGATAATTCTTGTTGATAAATTAATTTGCCAAAAAAGCGAAGCCATTTGGATAAACGATGCAAAATAAAAACACCGTCATTTCCTCAAAGTTAATTTTCTCGAAGCTCATTGAGAGCTCAGAGATTGTAATAACATTTTCAGAATCATTTTTAAATAATATAATTGATATACTGACGAAGTTTCAAAAAAATCTTAACCTAAAATTTCGAGTTGAGCAAAATGATATACATTCGAACAACTCGAAATTAGGTTAAGATTTCATTGACACTTCGTCGTCAGTATATCAATTATGTTATTAAGAAATAATTCTGAAAATTTTATTGCAATCTCTGCGATGAGTTTCGAGAAAACTAATTTTGAAGAAAGATGAAGGTGTTTTTATTTTGCATCGTTTATCCAAATGGCTTCGCTTTTTGGCAAATTAATTTATCAACTAGAATGATCGATAATCACTCTTACTTCTGTGAAAGTTTGAGTGCAATTGAATCGAAATTTGAGACATAGTTGAAGTTTAAAAATCCACGCGAAACGCTACTTATTACGATCGAAACACCTTAATTCGATCTTCGCAAAATTTTTACGCATAAATGCACGTGCGTACTAGTGACTGTCGCAAGGAAATATTGAAATTTTCACAAAAATTACTGAAAAAATCACATAAAATTGATCCCTTTTATATGAACTCGAAGTCTCTCAAAACGCTGAAAACCGCATTTACAAAAGTTATTATTTCAAAATATATGCAAAAATACATTCTAAAGAACTAGAAAAGAAAATGTACCTTCGCAACATTCAAACTCTGAGGTTTATAGAAGCAATACGCGATTTGCTTTTTGCCGTTTCTAATACAACCACCAAAATGCTTTGCAAAAAAGTTACAGTTCTTTTGTGAGACAAATAGTAGTAGCATTTATATCACGAGATTACATAAATACGATATTTCCAATATGATCCTTTTTGGGCTATCTTTAAATTATGGTGAATATACTTATCGAGCATTTCTAACTAGCTGGATTGATGCCGTTGGCATTGAAAACAACTGTGCGGTCAACTTGGAAAAAAACGGGAAAGTCAAGTGCTATAAGACGCGAGCGCGGACAAAAAGGCGGGAGTAGTTGAAATTGAACCATCTTTTCTTTCAGATCATTGAAAAAAATGGATTTTGCTTTAATTTTGTTATTGCAAAGAAAGTCTCAAATGTGATAAACAAAGTTGTCTTGATTCCCTCGATCCAACTTACTGCGCGACTATCAAATTAGCAATTTCCGGTCCGGATACGGAAAAAGACGGACACGCGGTCTGGATACGCRATTTCACGGACCAGTTTTCAGCCAATGAGAGCGCGCGTACTATCTAAGTCATATAGTAAATCCTGATATTTTAGAAAGCAGTTCCTTCTTACGATTTCAAGGAGTCAACCAGAGTTGCTCTTCAAATAGTCTTTGAAAATCGGTCCTTAACGATGATTGTTTTCGTGAACGTGCAAAAGCACATGCCAAATACGCAAAACTATTCAATTTTAAAAGTATTGGTATATACGGGCAATAACTCTTCCTAATAAACATTTAAATAGATTTGTACACCCAGAGACGAAGAAGACGTACAAAGCAAAGGTAGCATTCCAATTGTGGATCAGACCTGGA